AAAACGCACCTTCCCAGTGCTCCTGGGGAGATAGGAAGAAGGGAATAACCATGCAACACGTCTCTGGAACAGGAGCTTGCATAGGCAACATACGGGGACCAAAACGAAGGCTTTGCAGCTCTTTCCTTCCCACAATAGGGAAAACTAGCGAAATGTGGGTCATTCCCTCGGAAGGGGCCCGGTGGATATGTTCAAGAACAGGCCTTACTCCGTGTGTGTCCCTAAAGGTGTTTAATGCTTCTAGCGAATATTGCATCCAGGTTATCATTGTCCCGAGAATATTATATCATTCAGAGAAAGTAGTCTATGATCACTGGGATATAGAAACACCCCATATCATAAAAAGGGAGCCCATAACTGCCATCACAATAGCCACGTTGTTAGGTATTGGGACAGTGGGGGCAGGGACGGGAATAGCATCTCTTATCCAACAACAACAAGGTTTCAACTCCCTGAGAGTAGCGGTAGACGAGGATTTGGAACGAATAGAAAAGTCAATTACCGCATTAGAAAAGTCTCTAACTTCACTATCAGAGGTAGTGTTACAAAATAGAAGAGGAATGGATATTCTTTTTCTACAGCAAGGGGGGCTCTGTGCTGCTCTAGGATAAGAATGTTGCTTTTATGCTGATCACACAGGGGTAGTATGAGACACTATGGCCAAACTGCGGGAAGGTCTCGGAAAACGCAAAAAAGAAAGGGAGGCCCAACAAGGATGCTATGAGTCGTGGTTTAATCATTCTCCCTGGGTAACTACACTGTTGTCAACCATTGCCGGACCTTTAATGTTGTTGATGCTCACTCTAACCTTTGGGCCTTGCATCCTGAACAGAGTAGATTAGAGGCGGCCCATTTAATGCTGTTAAAAAGGCAATACGAACACCTAGAGGATGATGAAACCAGTAAAGGAGAGACTAATTCTCTCTCTAGCCCGAGAGACAGTCGCTCGGTTTGAAGAACAAAATGGTAAAAACTAAAAGGGGGGAATTGTAATAAATAAATACATAAGGAATTTGTTCTCAAACCGGCAGATGGGGGGAAGGTCCCCCCCTTACTCCTTGTGGTTTTGTTACATCCTTTGTTTAAAGTCACTGTTGTGCGAAACTCATGGGACCACTTTCTGATACATTGATAAATTACCAATTCCTGAGTGGCGACATCCTGCTAAGTAAACAAGCACGAAACCTTCCTGCCTCATGCTGGGCCAACATGGCCAGATAAGGAAAGAAACTGATCTACAACGTGGAGGAAGACTGTGACCTTTATCCTCACGACCACCAGAAAGATACCAGGATGTGCCACGTAGACCCGGGACTACTAAACTATAAGAAGGGACTCTGGTGGGGGTGAGGTGCGCGCCGTTGGTGGAGCAGGAGACTCCCTGGCCGCCCAGCGCTGTTTTGCCTGCTTGATCGTTTGCTTGAATAAATTCAGTCTTGATAAATATAATCGGCCTCAAACGCTTATTACAAGACTAATGCTTAGGACTATGTAATAGTTTGCAATGTTCATTTTTACTTCATTACATATATACATACATGTTTATTCAATAAATTTTTGCTTACCTGGCGTAATTCTGACAGTCCTTTGAGAATTGCTTGTTGTCTCTCTCTGCTTTTAACTACATCAGGATTTAGAAGAGGATCTCTACCGTGATCCGAGCTAAAAATCTGTCGTGGTGTTTGGTAAGAATCTAGAAGTAAATGTATATCAAATCAGTTCACAATGCTCTTTATCAATTTTGTTTTAATTCTGAAGCAGTAAATTTTCACAGCTTGTGAAAATCAGTTTTGGTTGCTATTAGATTATGATCACTATTTTTAAGTCAAGTCAAACAACACTTAGATTCCTAAACGCAAACCTAAAGACAATAATACCAGAGAAGTGCAATCATACTTCACTAAACGTAAACAGACAAAAAAGACAGATGAAATAGTAAGTTTTGTTGCTTGTAAATTTTTTTTAACTTTTTTTTTTTTTAAATAACATTTGGTTGCATAGGCTTTCTGTACAGTGCTATGACACACGAGTTACTGCAAAATGCAGTAAAAACAAATACCAAACTGAGTGAATTGTAGCACTTCAAACTAAATCACTGTATCATTTCTTCTTCTACATGAATCAGTTCATAATACATTTCAGTACCATTAAACTGCCGATGCTGTGGGTCCTGTGTTGAAGGTCTTGTCACTGGTGCATCTGGATCAAGGTAATACACTTCATTTGTTCGAACATACGGAATAAATTGTGAAGAGAGAGGTCTTCCAGCTTCTGTAACGGAAGGAGGGGAGCTCCTCTGCTGTGTATCTGGCTTGACATTTTTCTCTCTTCTACTATTGCTGTTATGCACCAGGAAATGAGAAGCATGTATCTGTTTTTGTTGTACATGGTGTAATCTATTCTTAACTGCTGGAACAGGTGGTGATTCAGATCTGCATGAAACAACTTCAGTTAGAAAAAACCCCAAACAATACTTAAGTAATGTGATTAATTTTCTCAAATAGTAGAGACAAAGAATCCTCAGAGGACTGGACTTCTGCTCATTTACTCTGCTTTTATATGTGCAGTTTGTCTGGTCTTGTGTAGACAATTAGAGGCATCTAAATTATTTAAAAAAAACCCTAAAAATCAGGACAGGAAAGTATGTGTATTTCACTATTAATGTTTTTATACATTTAATTAATGAAGAGTATTGACGTACCTTTCTTCATTCAAATGATTCTTAGGTAATTGTTCTTCCTAGGAGAAAACCAAGAAAGTCAAAAGTAAAATAAAAAGCTCCATGTTTTTCATATTAACAGCTTTCATTTTTGAAGACAAGTTTGTTCTGAAATTCCAAAAGGACTGTTTGACCTGGGTTCAGAACAAAGGTATTTATCAGACTTGCATTAAAGAGACGTTAGTGTCTATGAACTAAATTAAATGAATTACAGGAGGATTTGCTCCCATTTTCTGTCTTTGGCAGCTTTAAGCACTGTAAAAAATACTGTATGTATTTTCCAATGACCTTGGAAAGCTGCATTTATAAGCCTGAAAGATTCAGCCCAATATAATGATTAAATGAAAGGTCATGTTTGTAGGTAACAGTCAGTACAAGTTTTCTATTTAAATGAAAACCACTAACATATCCCATGCTTATTATGGGATCAGATAGTGCTTACTTATCTAAAAAAATCTGCTTAAAATTCATTGCCCCGTTTCTCAGGCAGAAAATTCTTGAACATTTGCCTTTCAATAATGTAAGCGTAAAACTTAGATTTACCATTAACCTCAAATAAACCAACAAACTCAGTTTAACAAAAGAATAAATCTTTACAGATACCTCTGTTAACAGTTATGTATTTTGACATTCTTTTTTCTAACACCCACAGCTTCTAAAATATGTGTCTGTAGGCACACTAAACAAATGGCTAAATAGAATTGAAGGGGCCATCTTTTCTACAACAGATTTTTTTCTATTGGGAGGTGTTTATGCATACATATGTATGTACATACAGAGAGTAAGCAAGCACAAGAGAGAGAAGGCATGAATACATTTGATAGCATCTTCTTTAAATGAAAGCCGTTTTTTTTTCCCAGCCACCAAGCTATACCAACACATGCTTACTGCAAATGAAGAAGAAATGACTCCACTAAGAATGCATTTTTATGACAACAGAGTACATATCATTAGTGATCCGTATTTTTTTCAGAAATAAAAATTGTTTTCTTGAACAAGTACTCCTATACCTCAACCATCACCACAACGTAATGACTGGACAGAAAAGAGCAAGTCAGTGATGTCATTCTATCCATCCTGCACACTGCTTTCAATCAAGCTCCCTGTTTACATAATGAATGGATGATAATCAATAAATGGAATCACAGAATCGCAAGGGTTGGAAGGGACCTCGGGAGATCATCTAGTCCAACCCGCCTGCTAAAGCAGGCTCTCCTAGAGCATACTACACAGGACTTCGTCCAGGTGGGCCTTGAATATCTCCAGAGAAGGAGACACCACAACCTCCCTGGGCAGCCTGTTCCAGTGCTCTGTCACCCTCAGAGTAAAGAAGTTTTTCCTCATATTCAACTGAAACCTCTTATGTTTCAGTTTGCACCCGTTGCCCCTAGTCCTGTTGCTGGACACCACTGCAAAGAGTCTGGCTCCGTCCTCGTGACTTCCACCCTTAAGATATTTGCATATGTTGATGAGGTCCCCTCTCAGTCTTCTCTTCTTCAGGCTGAACAAGCCCAACTCTCTCAGCCTTTCCTCGTAGGGGAGCTGCTCCAGTCCCATATCATCCTTGTTGCTCTCCTCTGGACTCTTTCTAGGAGTTCCTCATCTTCCTTGAACTGGGGAGCCCAGAACTGGACACAGTACTCCAGGTGGGGTCTCACCAGGGCAGAGTAGAGGGGGAGGAGAACCTCCCTCGCCCTGCTGGCCACACTCCTCTT